TATGTTCTAGGCCATACCACATGTGAGCCATGATGGCTATGACATCATGATGTATGCATCGGGAGAGTTGCAGTGAGCAGCGTGATGTACTTGCAATCTTTTTTTGACACTGATAAAGTTACAACAAAACACCGTGGGAATGCAACACTTCCTTGGCTCAAATTAAACTTCAGGAATCGCATAAACATTTACGACATAGCATACCAAATACACGGCATGCCTCAAAGTTAACCATTTCTGTTCCCCGTCTTTGTTTGTTTTGAGTTCAACGACCTTCTACACCCCCATGCCATTCAGGCGATGAATATCGCCGGCGCTTCATAGTTTTTTTGTACAGATTTATCCGGCGCATTGGTTGAATAGCTTGTTGTGACCAGCGCTTGCGCCAAGCAGTGTTTGTTTCTAAATGCTGACTCCACCATCCGTTCGCGAAAGTCCATTTTAGCGGGAGAATTTTGTAACGAAAGTATAACGTGCCGCAATGGTTGGCACGCTCCGCCCGCCCTCTGGCTTTGAGCGCTGCACGTTCCTTGGATCCCACCAGTCATTGACCCCCGACCTATGGGAGTTTCTCGTGTGTACAGGCTTAAGGTCGGGCTAATGTTGGTGCTATCATCTTCCAAGCTCGTCAAAGCCTCTTCTCCGATAGTCTACTGAGTCTGAGCCTTTGTGGCGAGTGATGAGGTATCGAACGGTCAAGGAAATATCACGAGGTGGTATTGTCTACGGCGACTGTATAAAGCCCGACAACGTAAATAACGAGGCTTATGGGTCATACCAGACCAAAAGTTACACCTTGAAAATTCGATCAGCCTGCAATGGTTGTAATCGTCTCGTACTAGCATTCAAACAGCATGATAGTACCGTAGCTTTGTTTCGCGTGACGTTGAACGGGGCAAGCGAGCGTCAATTGCGATGTATTGCAACCGCAATCTATTATGAGCTCAGGGTTCTTATGTTGACAATTATCGACCTTCAATGTACCAGAAGGTACTGGCGAATGACGCTATCAAGCAAACAATGGTTGCATTGTCAAAACCCGACTTTCAAGCCGTGCTCATAGTCACGAATGTCCACGACCACGAATGATGCAGTCATGATCATGTCGAATAAAGTTGTTCTTGGACATTATTGGCGCTGTCGTCAATGCAAATCACCAACACCGGTCCATTAATACGTGTATGTTTGTCTTTGGCGCACTAGCTGCACAGGCAGAGAAACGCACTCAGATGTATTGAGAACATCTTCAAAGAACTGCTTCTGAGTCGACGGAGCTACATGAGTTTGGACCACATCAGCCACATCAGCCACATGAGCCGAAATGCTTGTTGTTTTTTTTTTTAAAAATAAACAGATGGTAGTCCATGTCGATACAAGCGTGGGTGACGCACTAGAGGGAAACTTTGCCTGGCCGGTTGGAGTGTAGCGGGTAATTTGGCGAAGTGCAGTTCACACGTCTCATCCTTTCGTCACGGCCTCCACTTAGATCCTCAGAGTCCGTCATTTGGCGAACCGAAACGTGGAAAGATAGTTCCTTGACAGTCCCCGATAAAAAAACTCCCACTGGCCCCGTAGCTAGCAGTCTCCGGCGTTTGCACGTGCATGCACACCGAAGGCTGGTTTCTAAGTCACGCCTCTCATGTCCTCCATGTAATGCACTGATCCGGGCCGCAGGTAGTCTTTGTTCCACGCCGACCCTTCAGGCCCACCTATCTGAAATACCGTGAGGTTCTCCGACACAATGTGACTGGCCGTTCATTTGCTGGACCGTGAGTAGAAGTGAATTCAGATCGCATGGTCGGAATAAAATATTTTCTTCTGTACGTTAACAACAGCCGTCCAGATATTTTTGGCGCATATTTGGCATGGAACCTTTAAAAATAACAAGCGGTCTGTAAGGCGTTATCGCAGTCTGCAAGGCGTTGAAATCGACCGGATTAACACCAGTGTTTGGAGAGCCTTCATCACGAATACTTTCCATCATCCTGGGCGTAACTCAGTTTGAGCACGTCTAGTGACACTTCCTAACGTCCTTGTCACCCTAAGAAACATGCATGATACGCGTGTGAATAAACATTAACACCTACGTACCATAACAAAGACGAAACATTGATAACCAACAAAAGCGCAGTGTAACTAACCACCAATGGACAGCGAGTGAACGCGCGTAGTCCGACCTCAAGCCAAGAAAACCTTGAGCACATTCCACGGTGCCATGACAGCCCAGAGTCCATGGAGCGCACCACGAGGACTCTGAGGGGCGTCTCCAAGGCATTTGTATTCACCGCCGCCGCGGTAACGTTGCGTCACGATTTCGCGCAAAGCAAACGGTCAGTCACGCCGGTGCGGGATGACCTCCGCCGTGACCGGCGCCCACCGTCGGAGAAAGCGTTACACATCTGCGTCCGGCCGCCGGAACGACGCACACCCGGCGCATTCTGAATCAGCAGGCCACGTTGGCGGCACCCGCGCTTCAAACGAGGCCGCGCGCGACAAAAGTAAGAGTATGAATACGGCGAGGAAGTCGCGCGGGCCGTCGGCGCCAGCGGGGCGTGCAAGGGGCGGTGGGGGAGACCCTCGGCGCCGCCAGGCACCAGCGCCGGCCTCGCCCGCCGCGGGGCCGGGGGAGGCGGGGATCGGGGGTCATTAGCAGCGGAACACTGACACGCCCTGTCGGCTGGACATGCGTCACGACCGGACTGTCGGCTGGACATATGTCACGACCGGACTGTCGGCTGGACATGTGTCACGACCGGACTGTCGGCTGGACATGTGTCACGACCGGACTGTCGGCTGGACATATGTCACGACCGGACTGTCGGCTGGACATATGTCACGACCGGACTGTCGGCTGGACATATGTCACGACCGGACTGTCGGCTGGACATGTGTCACGACCGGACTGTCGGCTGGACATATGTCACGACCGGACTGTCGGCTGGACATATGTCACGACCGGACTGTCGGCTGGACATATGTCACGACCGGACTGTCGGCTGGACATATGTCACGACCGGACTGTCGGCTGGACATGTCACGACCGGACTGTCGGCTGGACATATGTCACGACCGGACTGTCGGCTGGACATATGTCACGACCGGACTGTCGGCTGGACATGTGTCACGACCGGACTGTCGGCTGGACATGTGTCACGACCGGACTGTCGGCTGGACATATGTCACGACCGGACTGTCGGCTGGACATATGTCACGACCGGACTGTCGGCTGGACATATGTCACGACCGGACTGTCGGCTGGACATGTGTCACGACCGGACTGTCGGCTGGACATGCGTCACGACCGGACTGCGGGACGCGGGGAACAGGGGAACCGGCCCCGCAACCGAACCGGCCTCAGAACTGGGCGCGGAACTGATGAACCGGACGAGGACCCGCCGACAGACAGGCGTAGAACTGGTTGGGGATACAGTGGCTGATTTCTCTGAGCCGGTACTTGTTCTGGCTTGTATGTGATCTTATGTGACATAGAACAACAGATCCCATCCGTTGCCAATGTCGATTTTCCATCCGTGTTGGTAAGTAAGCCTTTGCCTTTGCATGAACCTCTTTGTGTCGACGGCTTTGTTGGAAAAGATAAACATTGGGAAGTATTTTTAGCAATCCAATATTGTGCACTGTATTGTAACATCATTAGGCTGAGGTAAGATAAAAGCTGGGAACAAGGACGCTCAACAGAGCTTGGGAGCCAATAAGCCAATGGGGTAAAGGCCAGGAGGGTGGAGAAGAGAACCATGAGCAACACGATGCACACGATGCACACGATGCGTAAAGATACGCAAGGTGGGGACTATATCTGATGCGATCATATCATACCTAACCATATCCGACACCACATAACCTTACGAGGGACGACAGTAAGTGCACGGAGGCACAAGATAATCCCACATGTTATGCTTTCGTTCAGATACCACGTCTACCTGTGGTGCTGTGGGAAGAATGACGTAAATGATAAATGCAGCGACAAAGTGGTCGTGTTGACAAATGCGCCATCTCGACACAAGTAAAAACAATAGCGAAAAACGAATACATGAATAAGCGCACTAATATGCAAGTTTATAGTTTTACCCATCTGCAGACCGAAGGTCGTGTCCAGTGACTCGAGCTGTTTTGATTCGTTTCATAAAGTCTTCTCATTTTTCATGACAAAACATATCGTAAGAAGTTACCACACTTGGATAACGTTTTCAGTCACTTTAATCGGACATAATCGTTTTCCATGTAAATGCTTTTGCATACAGATCCGTCCAATTGACAAGCAGATCCAGTAAACAACACACGTTGTACTGATGCAACGGCTTATGATTTATGATTTAGAACATCCTAAGAAATTGTGGAAGATCTCCGGGAATCATTCATCGCTCCAGAACACAAATATTTGCATTGTTTACAGGCAACACATTCGTCAACGCATTCGTCGGGTAAGCGGCGGAACGCTGGCTTCTGTCATCCAATGTAATTGTTCACGACAAAAAATATCCGTCAACAATGCGTAACATATTCATGGGAAACAAATGTTGCGCGAAGCGCAGCTTTCTAAAATACCTAGCTTTTGCGATTAACGTAATGCACACACACGCAGTTGGATGACACTGACAAATCAGCACAAATCAAACGTGGCTCACACCGGTAGGGAAAAGCCTGACGTATCCTGCTCCTGCCTTGTGGACGGGACAGCAGTCAGCCTGTGGTCCGTGAATGCGCGACCCAGGCTAGCCAAGCTGGTGTGCAGTGAGGCAGCCCGGCCGTTACAATCCATAAGTCGGAGCGAGATTGTGTTCGGTCGAGATGACGAATGGAGAATAGCTTGGAAATTGCTGGGGAGCAGGTGGCTGCCTCGATATCGGACCATGATAAAAGGTGCAGGAAACACACCCGTGCCACTCAGTATACAGGTGTACGTTTCAGCTCACAGCCCAACATTTGGCCGAACCTATTTCCAGCGCGTCCCCTCCGGATGTCGTATCTTCGACAGTCGTTACCTGTAATGTAGACGGGCGACGGTCACACGTCTGGCAGCGGCGGCCGCGGCCCTCCGCCTCCCACCCTACGTGCACACGACTCCGGCTCGGCCGCGCGGCCGACCTCGCGCACACGCCCCGGCGCACGCCAGACGACTGGCGGCACGGCAGAAACGCCAGCAGAAGCCGGCCGCGGCGTCAGCAGAGCCGCCGGCGGCGCGGCAGCCGCCCGGCGGCGGCCGGGGCCGACAGCAGAAGGCGGCCGGCACCGGCGCCGTCGGCTCTGATTGGTGATTGGTCACCCGCTGCCACGGCCGAGCGACAGGCGGTGATGAAGGGCCGCCGACGAGCTGGCGGGGCGACGAACCTGCCATCGGCGCGCGGCATTCATGCGTAGGATGTAACCGTGGCAGAGCAGTCGAGGCCTGGTTTGTGCCACTTGTTTTGTTGTGGGCCGTGGCAGGTCCTGATATGCACGCGTGCTTATACTGGGGTAGATTCTTCACTTATTAAGTGTTTCGCATATATATATATATATATATATATATATATATATATATATATGCATGTATATACTTATTATATATATATATATATATATATATATATATATATATATATATATATATAACAAGGAGTATGAAGAATAACAAGTTACGCATGTATCTCTAAGAAGAGGTAGAATACATGCTTATAGAGTCGACGGCACATGCATTACTTGAAGGATGCAGTGAGGCATTTGCCGGCGACTTAACAAATATGAATTCTGTCTTTATACATATGTATATATTTACAGGAATATATCACCGACACATGCCTTACTAGAAGGATGTGGTGAGGGGAGCTCACAAACCAGCAGCTCACAGTGATGTCCTCCTATTGGAGACACAACAAAACCATCACCATTTTATGATATTGCCTCGTTCTCATTATTTTATGTCGCTACTTCACAGCGTTCACGCGCAAAAACAAAGCTTGGTTGGCACACTTGAAGGGCCTAATCTCCCTCCCAATAAATGTTTGGAATGTTATCAAAAATAAAACTTTATTTTTTTAGAAATTTGGTTTTGGTGGTCGCACTCTTCTCTTCTCCTCTCTCCCTTTCATTGGGCCCTTTAAGCCTTGCGCATCATTACACATACATCTAGCAACCAATTATCTTCATTTCCTCGTAGTTCCACCAGAGAGCAATTTTGCTCTCCCTTTTCTTTATGGCACCTTCAAAGCATCTTTGTTCCTTGTCTGATCAGATGGCTAATTAACCTGGCCAGTCGGGCTTCCACCGGTAATAACTGTGTTTTATTTTTATCCGATCAGAGAGGTCAATATGCTCGTGTAGATGATACACAATACACCGGTAAAACATTTGTCCTAATGACTTTTTGATAAGGGAAGCTTTAATCGAAGTTGCGTTAAAAACCCCAGGGCTAATGATGAAATTCCACCGGGCGTTGCGTGCCTGTGGACTATTGAAGTGGGTTTACCCGTGGAGCCGTGTGGCAATCCCGAAGTATCCGTGTGAGTCGCCTAATAACCGAGCCGTTACCGTAATGCGCGCGTGCCTGCGCATCCAGAGGATTCTGGAATCCAAGTCAGCCGCGATGGTCGCGTGGGTCACACATCGCAAGTGTGCCGCCCACGCGTCTGGTGCGGTGGGGTCGACGGTGACCACCAGAACACTTCATTGATATCCGGTGCACGTGTGAAAGCTCATGACCAGCGAACTGTGCATCGACAGCGTGAGGTCCACTTCTTGCGGAGCCGACGTTGCGCGGTTCTTCGCAGGCAGCTGCACGCTCGGTCGGACCGAGTGAAATCGGAGTCATAAACTGGGACATTTACACCCTTCATTTTACATTCACCGTGATATGAATTCAGCGTAAAAACCGGCGTGCTTTTTGCCACCGGCTTCCTCAGTGTCGTCGGCCCGGCCAGGCTATTATTAACTGCCTGACCGTATCACGCGTCACGCGCTGCATGACCCACTGGCTCAGACGTCCACCCTGCACTGGCTCAGACGTCCACACATCGTTCCACCGCGCACGGTCGGTCCTGAAGCGTGGGCGACAGGCTCGCCACGAATTCCCCACGTCATCACCGGCCTCAACCGAGGGAAGCGCCAATGCATTTGCATTCGCATTGACCGAAGTGGCTTCTTTAGCACTTTAAAAGTCCGTGCTATTGACGGCCGTCGTTCCACGGGCGCAGCCGGTCGCCGAGACCATCCCGGCATTGTAAAACGCGCTCTGCCTACGTAATGCGCTTCTTTTTCAGGCGAAAAACAGATTGGCCGAGTCTGCAGCAGCTTGGGTCGCCAAGCCTCGGGCCCAGGTCTTCGGTCGTGGCCACATCGCCGCGGCTCGTGAGCTGGTCGGGCGGGCGCTTCCGCTACGCTGCGGCCGGTGGTCGGCGCTGTCGGAGGCCGGCCTCCGAGCCACCTGTTGGGCGCCGGACGCCGGTAACTCGCCCGGACCGGGCCCTGATGCGTGGGACCGGCACGCCGCCAGCGTCAGTCGTGGGAGCAGTCTGCGGGCCAGCTGCTGCGGCGCTGCCCGAGTTGGGACCGCGGCGGCTGGCTGGTGCAGGTGCTGCAGTCATCCCCGCATGTCCGGTGCTCGGGACTGAAGGTGCGCTTGCCAGTCGTCCAGGCTTCGTGTAGTTGGGTGGAGAGCTTGCTCACAAGAGTTCCGCCGGATTGAAGCTGTCTGTTCATGTAACCTCTTCCGTACTGAGGTAGATCTGATGCTGACGGGGTCTGTTTCCGATAATATATGTGCCATGTAGTCCAGCCGAGAAAAGTTCCATGATCCAAAGATCAGGCAGACAGAATACCCCATTAAAAAACGTGATCTGCTTCATGCACGGATATTCATACCCACTCAAGTACAGCCAGATCAAGCCGCGTCCGATCAGGTGACCGAGGTCGCCGCTCGTCGCAAGGGCGGAACAGAGCCTGGGTCCCTGCGGGCCACGCGGACTGACACCCGGCTCACGCCACCCGAGTAGACATGGTGTGACCCGGCACGGCACGTGACACGATCATGGGAGGGGTGGCGGGGACGGCGGGCGGACGGCGAGCCGTGGCAGTGTCAGGAGTCGTGACCCAGTTGGGCCGGGGGCGGCCTTGGGCCAGCGTCGCCGCGGCAGGGAGCACAATGTCTGATGACAGAGCAGCTGCAGCGATGACGACGAGCCGGAACCGGTGGCGTCCGGGCGAGTCGACAGGGACCTTCCAGTCGGCTCTAACGGGCTCACTTACCCGCCAGCCAATGCCACCCGTGTGCAGAATTGCCTGCTGTTCGGCGCAACGCTCCTAATGACAGGGTTACATCACGTGTTTGTGTGCATGTCAGCTTTGACAGTTACGAGGACATCTTCAAACGGAGAAATGACCTTTTCAGTTTCAAATAATATACGACTTGATTTCACAAAGTTTAATTCGCAAGTATGGCACACAATGACCATCTGTCTCGGAAGCGAGACAAGTGACTTTTATTTTTAGGTTTGGTAGAGCTCGCATTGGAAACATCAGGCTGGCAATTCTATGCCCAGTAGTTATCCAGCTTAGTCCGCGACATGTTCCAGGAAGTAGAGCTGAAAACATATTCAAATTACATTAGAATGAACAGCGAGAGAACATCGTATTTCTGGCGCGACCTTTATTGTACCTACCATTCCGAAAACGCTCAGACGCAAATGGCACCACGAAACTCGGGTAGCACGACAGTATTTGCCGCTACACTAGCGTCGAGGAGCGGATCGTCACAGGTGAGGTGACACCCTCACGTGACAGCTGTGACGCTGTCGGTAACGCCGCTCGTAGCGGGTCACGAAGACGCCGGGTCAGGCGGAAACTGTACACTTCCGGCTGGTCGATAGCTGACAGCAATGCTTGCACTTGGTATGTTGGTATTGCCTCTTCCTTCTTATCATGAATATAGAAGTAACAAGCACCGCGTGCTGTTGAAGAGGACATATCACTGAGCCAAACGGACGGATGCAATGGCTCTCTCCGCGCAGTAATACGCATGTCTGACAACTGCTCCATTTAATCAAAAGGCCCCGCTCTTGGCTATTCCTAGTTGTCTAGTAAACGATCGCATCTTGGTCTACGCGTCGCAGCTACGCATCGCACCGATGCCAGGCCAGCCGGCGTGCTTATAGCGCAGCGGCGCCGGTCCCGGCGGGGATCCACTTCAGAGCTCGGCGGGGTCCGTCTGTTGACCGCTGGATCCGGACGGCGGCGATCCCAGTGGGGATCCTCTTCAGAGCTCGGCGGTGTCCGTCTGTTGACCGCTGGACCCGGACAACCCCAGTCCCGGCGGGATCCACTTCAGAGCTCGGTGGGGTCCATCTGTTGACCGCTGGATCCGGACGGCGGCGATCCCAGTGGGGATCCCCTTCAGAGCTCGGCGGTGTCCGTTTGTTGACCGCTGGACCCGGACAACCCCGGTCCCGGCGGGGATCCACTTCAGAGCTCGGCGGGGCCCGTCCACCGACCGCTGGATCCGGACGACGGCGATCCTGGCAAGGATCCACTTCAGAGCTCGGCGGTGTCCGTCCACTGACCGCTGGATCCGGACGACGGCGATCCCGGTGGGGATCCACTTCAGAGCTCGGCGGTGTCCGTCCACTGACCGCTGGATCCGGACGGCGCCGGTCTCCAACTGCCGAGGTCATGTTTACGGCGAGGGCTGAGCGGGGAGATCGGTGGGTCTCGTTACAGATCACCTTTCACTAGGCCGGGCCTCCTCCGCCCTCCCTGAGGCGCCGGACTTTTCACAGGAGGAAACAGAAGCTATGCTATGCATAGCTACTGTTTACCTTGCGCAGCTCCGGCTATGCATGGTCCCAAGGTTTTTCAGGACACCTGTTTTTGCATTCACTGATCTAGGTCTGCCGTTGTCTGACAGACTTTCCTATTGTGACATCATGTTTACACCCTTTTTGTAACTGATTCATCACAGCCGGTTTTTGACAGTTATCCGTCTATCAACTGCATGCCGGAGAGGTTTGCATTTTCCTAGGTTACTTTAATGTTACCGGCGTGGTTTTCAAAGGTCAGGTGGTAGATTGGCTGCCCGCGATCTACCCGCAAGGTCCTGTCCTGTTCCATACTAACC